CCCCCCCAAAAAAAGGCCACGACGCGAACTCCCCCCACGGCGAAGCGCCCCACCCGCCGAAAGAGGCAGACACGTTCCCGTCTCCTTCAGCGCTACGATCACTCGTGCTTCTCACGGCTGAGTTAGCTCAGAGACAGTAGAACAATTCCGACCGGGATGGCCTACGGTTTGAGTCCCAACTGTGGTGGAATTTGCAACCCCAGATAAGAAGCTGCATGTCAACCATCTTACTGGATAATTCTAGCGGCCGGTCGCTCTGGTCGATAGTTTGAATTGAATTGAATTGAATTGAATTGAATTGAATTATGCCTTATTTTACGTGGTGAGACTCAGGCCATTAGGCCTGCTCTTCCGTCTGACCACGCAAACTTCGCTACGCTCCTTTCACCAACTACCGGAGAAAGGAGGTATCTTGGGCGAGAAACAGGCGACTTGAATTTAGTTCAGAGGCGTCATTTAGGCTTGAGGATCTTTTACATGCAAGTAAATCTACGAACATGGGACAGCCGGCTTTACTTCCCCTCCGAAGGAAGGCGTATGAAGGATTTTTTCGCCCTTAAAAATCCACGGCTTCGATCGGGTTTGAACCCGCCAACTTGGGTACAACAATCCAGTCCACCATCGCTGCCTTCTTAGAGATAGTTTAGCCATAGTTTAGAGTGGATCCTCCGATCAATACCAGGGGAATGACGGAGTGTGCCCTATCACACGGGCAAAGGACCGCGCGCGATATTTCATTCCTATTCCATGTCCTCTCCTCAACTATTACTTACACGGACAATCACACTCCCCTACATGCCGGGAGGCCAGTCGGGAGCTTAGAGCTTGTCCAGGCTAGGACGGTGCCCCGCTGGCGGGAGGTAAGTGGTTGAGGGAAACCACGCGAACTGACGAGTAGGTCTTCGCCGGATCTCGCCATCCAACGACGGAAGATCACATATTAGACACCAGCCACATATGCACTTCTACTCTAAAAACATGTACTACACTGCATAGGTGCCATGATCATTGGGCCTAATGGCCTTATCCGTTCACGCACCCAGAATTACTAATCAATCTATCACTCAACTGGTTGCGTAGCCCCATTTCAACCACTCTCTGGAAAATTCTAGCGGCCGGCTGCTCTGGTCGATTGTTTTGCTTGGTTTCTTCGACCAACACCAGGCGAATGACGAAGAAGACTGGCCATGACCCGCGCGCGATTTTTCCATCCTCTTCTTTATAATATTATCTCCCTTACATTTACACTCACCTATGCATTACACTACCACACAGGTCGAGAGACCGTTTAGAGCGTTTCCCAGATGAGACAGTTCCCAGCTGCCTGAAGCGGACAAAAGCTCAAATGGAGGCGAAGGTCGGCATTGACTACCTCATACTGCGGGAGAAGAACCCCAACCAGATACGCAGCATGCACAAAACGCACGGATCATTAATGACCCGGAAATACCCATCAATCAAACATTCAATCAGTATCAATTTCTTCACAATTCGGCGATGTGAAAATGGTATTATAATTTCGAAACATAAAATTTCGTGATTGATTTTCGCAAAATTTTTTTGTAAACAGGTTTAAATATTTTTATGTCAAAATTTCTCTGGTAAATTTCCATACCTCACCCCCCTTCCTCCAGTAAGAACATTTTGGATGTCGAAGGGAAGCACGTCCAATGCTCTTGATTCATGCTGCTTAATTAAATATCATTTCAATTTAAAAAATCATTTTTTTAAATACAGGTGATTTTCGGTGTGTTTGACTTTAAGACCCGATTAATTCTGCCGCCTCAATTACCATTAAGCGCATGATCGCGTTCGCTAAATCTCGCAAAATCGCCCGTCAAAAGGAAACGAGTAAATTGGATCTAAAAGAATTATAAGATTTCCTACACTTTCATTTAAACAGAAAATTTCGATCGAATACGTCTCATAGCAATAAAACTAATATATTAAACAACTAATTCATTTCTTTCAAAACTAAAAACTAGAAAATTAAAACTTCAAAAAGTTTCCTAGAACATGAACATAATTGTAAAATAATTTTTAAATATGAAAAAAGTACGTAAATGTACGACAGAATCTGAAATTTAAGAATTGATTGACATCAGTTTTAACTTTCCTTTTCGTTATATAGTGATCTTTCCCAACACAACGAAAATCGAAAATGTAAGGACTTTATGTTGATAACTGAAAGGGAAATTTTCTGTATTGAAGGGCATTTGAATATTTTTTCACGAACGTGGGGTTTGTGGGACATCAATAAAATGACTATAAAAGGTTTTCTTGTGTTCGTAGTCCACAGTCGTATTTTTTCTGGCCCAAAGTCATAAGCCTCCACCGACCACCAAACGTGAGTGGGTACATTGCTAGTCATTCTTATTTTGTTAGAGAGTCTTAAATTTGTCGTAAGACTTCGTGCAACTCATATGATACAGCGCAGAACATATTTCCGAATCGCGTCGTCAGCGGTACAGTGGCATTCGCCGAAAATAAGCTCAATATTCATTTACTATGTGGCAATGCGATTGATCGATGTATTGTGAGATACCTGGTGCGTCAACTGCTAAGGTCATTAGTTCCGTGTGTTGTTTTGGTCGCGGGTGGTGGCGATGTGTGTGTGTGTGTGTGTGCGTGCGCGTGCGTGCGTGCGTGTGTGTGTAAGGGGAAGGATAGGACACGGAAGAGAAAGGAAAGCGCTATCCGCGGTAGGTTTGTTAGGGTATTGCTCCGGCATTCGCCTGGTGTTGATCGGAGAAAGCACGGAAAACTTCCGACCAGAGCAGCCGGCCGCTAGAATTCTCGTCCAGGCAGCGACTGAATTCGACCTAGCTACTTAGCCAGTTTCAAAAATCCTACCAATCGTGACTAACTCGTGGACTTTGCGATCAGAGGCACTGCAGTAATGCCAGTTGATGCTCTGAACCACTTTTTTCAATGCGTGGCAATGCGGCATGGCTGCAATATATCCCTCAACAAACTACAAAAATAATTTGTGAGCTACTCCTTGAACAAACACATTTGGGAAGGTTTCCCATTCGACTAGCCTCTTAGTTGCAAAATTAAACGATAATTTGAAACAAATCGTAAACTGTAACTTCAGCCCCATACGATGATTGAGAAGTTTTACGGAGTTTTCAAGATGCGTGGAAACTTCGGAGAATATACACATAATCGTACCAATGATTTCAACTTTAGTCCTGTATATTATTATTATTCTACCTATTCACTAAAATAAACATAAAATATTATACAATTTAAACACTATTAAATATGCAACACAACAAAATATTCGATCTTTCACCACTCGCTAACTTTGCTACGTCAACTGTAACTTCATAAGAAATGATACGCTTGTTCTGTAATTACACTTCAGTTGACTTGAAAAAGACGTAATGAAGAAATGTCGAGAGATAAGCATTCCTTCTATTAATTTTAATAAAAAAATTGTTTTCAACTATAAAACTAGTTAATAAAAGCAAATGATTATTCATCTAGTGTCCCCTACCTTTCATTAAAAGAAAAAGTCACCAAATTTTGAGTAGAAATCTCAAATTTCTTTCTATACGATAACCCTTAGAGATTTAAGTTTATAGAACATGAATTTAAACTTTCATACTGAATTTACTTCTCGGTAAAAACAAAATGTGTAATCCGGAAAACTATATAATTTTTACTTTCCAAGAGCTGTAAGGTAAATACTTTTAGAATACCAGCACAGGCCACCTACGTTTAATACCGCGATAAACTTTAAATACCGCAATAAAGGGTGGAAATGTTGTCTGCACCAAGTTGTTGTTGACTATAGGGAAAGTAAAATACTTCGTTTCCTTGTTTGCAATTTGTACTATTTGTAATTGAAAATGTCAACACAACTTTTATTATTACGAAATTAAAAACCGTAGTTCGCAAAAGAGAGAAACAATGATATGTACTACAATGTACGTTAACGTTTACCGAGTGGTTTTGAATTGGCGAGTTAAACAAGGGGTTTGCGAGAGTCGCGAAGCTTTAAGAAAATTTTAAGGCAAATAAACTCACTGGCTGGAAGTGCTCTTCAACCGATGGCTGTAACTGCGTAACCGCCGAGACGACGACTGCGTGCGCAAGAGCAACAGTCCCTTGACGGTGACGGTGACTGATGCCCTCCAATCTAGAGGAAATAGGAAATGATCACTACTACAGAAAATTTTAAATAAGACATCGAAATAAAATAAACAAATACGGTAGAAAAATTACATTCACCTGCCACCGCGATGCTTCTGAGTCCCGGTTAATCCAGGGTGCTCGCGTGGTCCAAGCCGGCCTATTCCCGAGCAAAAAAAAGGTAGAAATAGTTTGTGCTTATTTATAAATTTATTCACTATTTATTTACTAATTGATTTTGAGGGCCCGTTCCAACTGCCCGAGGTAACTGGGCTGCGATTGTTACGACAGCAATAGCGAAAAAGCGGCGAATTATGACTGACCAATGATGGAATGAGAGGCAAGCTTCTCGAGGAAACCTACGGAGAACTCGCTTTGCCCACGACAAATTCCCCAGAACCACAACATTTATTGTTCGCAATATTTACAATCTCCGGTAATAAACGCCCTTTTTAAAGTTTACTACTGTCCCCGATAACGTGGATTGTTCGGGGATCAAACACGAACCCCATTTCGCCACAAGCATTTTCTATCAAGTGTCACTATTAAAACAAATCGTATATCATCGTGTTATTTTTATGTTATACCTATTGTAGGTACAAAACCTAACCAGTCATTTCAACAATTCCATTTGTCATTATCTCCATACTTATAAACATTACAAATAAGTAAGCGCATTGCCGTAGTTCCCTCCTTAACTACAACCACTTCGCGCAAACAGCATATCGATACTCAAGTCATTTATTTTTATTATGTTCAACTCACGTATTGCATCCTCAACAAAATCTAATAATTCCTTTCCGATCTCTCTTACTGTAGTTAAGTCACAGGTCTTCTTTCAACCTCTACAGGAGGAGATATAGCATTCCCGACCACCTTCCTACAGGTTAAAGGTGACGACCTTTATTTCTCCACCTCTTCATTTTTTCTTGAAAGGTTAGATGTAGGTCGAGACACGAACATTATATGTCGTTGGCTTTGTCACCCTGGAAATTCTATCGAGGTGAGCTCTTCCTTTAATGATCAAATATTTTCGGCGGACGCACAATGCTTCTCGGCTCTTTCACTACATACCTTCAAGGAACTTGCTCCCGTATTGAAAAAGGTTTCCTCGACTATCGTTCTTCTTTTGCGGAGCGGAATCACAAAACTTCGGGTCGGTAAAGAAACAGACCTTTCGTTTCCCCTCTCTCTTTCTGAGAAATTACTAGCAAGTCCTTGGAACTTTCTCGGTTATAACACGTTCTTCCTTCGTTCCTTCATTAATCATTTCTTTCGTTTTATTTTCCAACTGTCTTATCTCTCGTCCTGCCATCCAATATTATTTATTGATAAGCATGTCCTTCGACACTCTCCTATTGCACAGTAGCGCGTGTTCTGTCGAACATCTCGAATACATTTTGGTTACACAACAAAGTAAGAACACGATCTACGAAATATTTCATTTCAAATCGATTCTTTATCAACTGTCAAAAATGGTGAATATTACGAACAAGATTACATGAATGAAATCCATAATACAAAACATTTACATCGGACGGTAAATTGGCGATTTTCCCACAATTCAAAATAATAATATTTCACTTTAATAAATACTGAGGGTTTGATGATTCATTCAATATTTTAAGAAGCACTTTAAAGTAAATCTGCCAATTTTCATTTCTGTTACATCATGGGAAAATCTCGACATCTTTAATATTCGTTAATTGGGCCCTTGCAATTAAATGCACAAAAGGAAGAATTGTATAAACGTTAGAATGGAAAATTTCAACGTATACACTACGCAATAAAATAAAAAAAAAATATTGTTTCATGTTTTTCACTACTTATGCTCAGACTAATAAACACTACAACTACTATTCACTGTGATCACTACACACATTTCTCAAAATGTAATTGAAAGGTTTTGTATTTATTACGATTTAGATATGTTTATTGCAGTGGGTAGTTTTAATATTTTACTACAATTTTATGTTTATACTATAAAAACAGTAAGTAATAGCTAGCTATAACACATCTAGGATCCACTATCTTTCATTCAAAGCAAAAATCTCGAAATTTGGTTAAATATAAAGCTGAAATTTATTTATCAAAAACGTCTGCTTTAAATATATATGTGGATGTTTAGTTACAAATATATTATAGAAAAGAGATTCCAATAGCAGACATGAGATTTCAGTGAAGAGAAACATTACAAAGATATGTCTCAGTCAATATGAACACAGTCAATATTATTATCCAATAGTTATGTAACAGTTTACTCTGACAGAGAAGAGACATAACATACATACTAGTATTTTTAATATAATTTTTAAAACTAATTTCATGTCAATTTCTTGAGAATTCCGTTATATTAACATACTCAATACGCTATATACAAAAATCAGAAATAACTCGAAGCTAAGAATGCTCGGTTCTACACTCGGTTCTTTCTTACAAACGCTTGCGTCGTTGGAAAGGCTTCGTCGGGCAGCGCAGTGCACGCGCCCTTTGACAACTGAGGACCGCGAGGCCGCGAAGTTGACATAAGTTGGCACCCAACAGGATAAAGAAAGCTCGAGGAGGCTGACAATGCAAAGGGCGTGTTCAGGGAGTCGTAAAACTGGCCAAGTCTCTAAGTCCAGCCGTTTGCGCGCTCCCCGAATTCGCATTTGTAGTCTGAATGACTTGACATACTCCAATTCTCACTCGTAAGTTCTTGGATAACAAAAAGTACTTTCATAACATAATTTGGTCAACAGAAAATCTGAATTTGTCAAATAAAAATAAAATTCAAAATTATCGGTCAATTTCTCTTTCGTCTGTTTTCTAAAAAATATTAGAGACTTTTCTATGTAAGAATGGAAACTTTTTTGAAGAAAAAGGAAGCATTTTCAGACCCTCAACAAGTATTTAAAAAAGAAATGTCTACGAAACAACCAACGGAGTATTTGCTGAGTTATACGAAAATGAGACCTGCGTCTTTCTTTTAAAAGACCTACGCCCTTAAAAGAAATGTTTAATCAAACAATGCGTTGCCATTTTTTAGACAATTCCGCAAACATCCATATGTACGTTTGTACGATCCGCACATTTGAAACTCGTAGGGGCTCGAATTCGGCCAGATCGATCGGGGAACATCGATTTTCATACCGAACATCATCTGAACAGTTTAGGCGGTAGCCTTGACTACAGACAGACGGAAAGGCAGATGTTTTGCCTTTGGTTGGGTTCTAAATACAGAACATTTTAGAGAAAGTACATGAGAACATAAAGAAACACGATTTATCCACTTTTTTATATCAGGGTCCCATAATACGTGTTTTTCTGTCGACATATCGCCGATTGTTGCCGTTGCATTACAATACATTATACTTACTCGTAAGAAAGTAGTATGGCGAGAGAGTAAAAATAATAAATACAGTATTGTTACAAATATACTTTTAGATGATACATGATACATTAAAAGTGAACAAATGGAAAACTATTATAATGCAGTTCTGCAATTCAAATATGCAATAGCATGCGCCATTGAAAATGAACATTATGCAATTGGCTGATGGTAAGGTAACAAAATTTCTGTCTCTCGTTTTAGTCAAACCTTAACAGGAATATCCAAATAAATGAATTGAACATTTAAATGAATATATTATGTTACATATTCAAAATTCTTTCAAATTCGATCAGCCTTCGTAGCGTGTATTTTACAAATGTACACTCCTGCGAAATGTATGATATAATATACTGAACAACCACATCCGTTAGTATCCACACTTTAATATTGCAGAAAAAAGTACGAATAATAAATGCCATTGAAGTTATCCTTGGAAGCTTGTTTTTATTTAACTTGGACTCTTACAATCGTCTTACATGTTTATTTCGGAAACAAGCTTAGAGAAAGGACTCATTTTCATACAACATCTATTTATAATAATAAATCCTCGTCGTAGGACGTCTGTGCATATCATCAATCAATATTAACAAATCTGAACAAGAAATGTATATATAATACAAGTACGTTACTTTACAACACTTTGCCAGATGGCATTAAATAATTTTATATACGTATTACACTTATTTCATTATTTTGAATTTATTTTATTGTAAAATACTATATTTTATAATAATTTTTACGAGGGGCAAAAGTATTAATGGTATATACTAAACGTGGTTCCGATTCGATAATGTTTTATTAAATTACTCTTATTTATTATATTTAGCAATAATTTGAAATAAATTTAAAAATTTCTTTGTAGTTCATCTCCGCTAGTAAAACCTCCGCTTACATTTATTATATAACTTTCGAACAAACAGCTCTTTTTAACTTATCATAATATTCGTTTCTACCCGGAACGTAGGACGTTGATGTAATTATTTCTATCTTTAGTAAATTGATTATGAAATGATACTCTCAAGTCGAAACATTTAATTTGATTTGCAATGGATAAGTTCAAATATTTCTGATATATTTCATTTTTAACGATAATTTATTTGCTTTGGTAAAGGAAATGAAAATTAATATTCCTAAATTTAAAACAACAACTGACAACTGCGTTCTCCAAAAGTCTGGCATAGGACAGGAATGCAGTAATGTACCCCCAACCCGAAGAACTTTGTACAACCTTCACGTTTAACCTCCCGACAGTTTCTCTGAGCGCAGTTTCCGCGTCCTCTAGTTACCTTTTCCCGGCCTTGGCATGTCTGTGGCAGAGGGAACATTCCTTCTCGTTGATAAATTCTAAACTTGGTGAGCGTTCGTGTTTTGTTGACTTGGTGAAGAATCAAGTATTGAGTTATTGGTTGTGATTTTTATCATTGTAACCTCTTGAATTCGTCCATCCACTTATGTTTTAAGTTAAAGGTCCTAATAGCGCAAATCTCGACAAGAAAAGAAAAGGTTCTGTGTTTACAGGAGGAAAGGAAGAGACTTTCGAGACTTTCCAAGCAATTTCACTGTAATTTCACTCCCAACAGCTGATAACAAACTCTCACTAGCATGAAGGTTCTCTTTTGACCTGTAAAGATTCTCCTGTTTAGAACTATTTTCATTATTACATTAACATGTTTATGATCTTCAAAATCCGTGTCAAAAATATTACGTAGAATCATGAAAGAACAAACATTTCTTTATCACAATACAAACACACGTTTTCCAAAATGCATTCAAACTATTCGCGCACAGAAATTCATTAACGCCTGTAGTGTTTTTATGACTAGTATATCTAACGACACTAAAATAATTATTTGAAAAGAAGATATTCAAATGGCAGAAACCTAAAATTAACGTTGATTAAACGTCAAATTAAAGTTCCTGTAAATTTACAAGCATTTCAATATCTTCTAATGTTATTTATGGTGATGTCTCCCACGTATTCATATCCAAATTCTTATTAATTACATCAATAAATACTTTTATTCCTATTATTCAATACTGGATAAGCATTTTAAAATCTTAATCGCATTCTCGATTTTCAAAACATAATTCGAATCGGCGCTATTTTAATTTGCTTTAAAATTCAACATTTACTTTGCTGCGTGTCATTTTGCGCGTTACCTACTTAATATAGCTCACATAAATAAAATAATTATCTTTAACACTATTTTTCACTCGTCACTATCGTTCTTAAGCCATTTAAGAACTTAATTAAGCCTAGGGCAGATCTGTCTGCTTACAAGGCAAGTTTTCTTTCGCATTGATTTACTGCTCTACATGCCGGATGTAAGTATCGTCAGTGCACAAGGAAAGTTAACATCTCAGAATTTTTATTTTGAGAGAGATTCGTTTAAATCGGAACCTTTTACTTCGTGGAGACCAATTGTTTTACTGTAAATCTCAGCGGTTTTGTGATCTATATAATGTTTACTGCTAAAAACTAGACACATTTCTAAATAAATTCCAAATAAATTCCTACAAATAATAAATATAAAAAATAATAAATATATTTCTAACAAATTCCAAGTAACTTTTCTCCATGCATTTCTTTCGTAAAAAAGTTCAAAAATCAGGATTTTTTTAATGTGTCACTTCTCTTGAGCACCAGCGTTACAGATACAACGACATAAAGTCCGAGGGACGATTTGGAAATTTATATTATAGCCAGTTTCGAAAATAATTCCCCGCAGCCGGGCGGCCTAGCACCTGGATCTGTACTAAGAGGATTAGGCTTTTGAGAGCCCAGAACAGAGATAGCATGCGTGCAAACCCATAAAACGACACTGAACAGGCAGAGTGTAGTGTTAGCAAAACCACCTCTGATAGTTTTATTCAATGACCTCTCTGTAACCACCTCTGATATATTTTCTTTTGCCGCAACATTATACTCCAGCAATAATTAAAACATTATATTTACTCTACAACAATAACGTACCTGACGAAAAATCCTCCTTCGGATGCCACGTAAGTGAGGATACACATCTCGTGAATAGAATTTTTTTCGAAAAGAAACGAATAATTTGTGATAATTGAACTGATGAAACTGTTTTTGAATTTTCGTAAAGTAAAGACAGCTCATGCATTTTTCTTCATACAGTATTACATTTACAATAGATATCCAAACAGAATAGTAACACACTTCTTCGGTAGGAATTTACAAACTGTCATCAAAAAGACCATCTGCAAGGAGAACACAGACTTACCTTTACTATTAATACTCATCCAGTCACGAATTCGTTCCAGGATTGATATTTTTCGTACAAAAATACCCCGTCATATTTTTTAAAATTGGAATAGAAATGTATTTACTTGTTTTTTTTCTACACCGAACTAAATTGCGAGTTAATTAAAATAATTTATTTTTGTTAACAAAACTTTGACATCTTTCTAATAAACGTAGTATGGCAAAGAAAGAAAATTATTCCTAAGATATTGAAAAAGGTTCATAGATGTTTAATTTTGTATAACACTTCTACAACAGCAAAAAATACCTTCATGTCAAAATAGAATTATTTTATTTTTAATAACACCCGCACACACAAAAAAGTCAGATCCAAAGACTTGAAACATGTTTCTCTATGTATTTCGATGCGCTGACTCCTAATCTGAAGTCAGAATTGCGCGATCACCCTCCAGTTGTTGTTTTTTTATTTTCTAAACCCACCGTGAAATTGTAAATTGTAGAAAAAAAATACACTGTCACGATGGTTTTTGCGTGTTTAAAATATTTGAATGTCTTCTGAGACTCAAGTCGTGATACTCGTATTCAGTCAAGATGTTGAAGAATCATTCTACATCCTCCTAACCTAATATCTCTAATTTTAGATTTTTGTAGATAACTTTAAAAGACTCTTTTCTGAGAACCATAGTTTCAAATATTTTAGTCAATTTCATTGAAAGAAACGTTGATATTGGAATGTTTGACATCAATAATTGTATTGATTTCATGTGATTTCATTCCCTCGTAAGATAGGGAGATCGAATAGACATAAAAATAGGAATAGAAATTACTAATTTGTGCCTGTTCTCAGAACTACGAGTATTGATGTTATTCATCTTAAGCGCTACATTTCACCACAGCATTGCCAAAACACGAATGAATTTCTATGTGAACTCAAATGAAAGACTTGACTTACTAAAAGCCATTTTACCCGGTACAGTTTTCGTCTGAAACTGTACAAAACGATTCCAAACTAGAAGTATAAGACGCCAAAAGTCGTATTTACACGATCTGCACGT